TTATTTTGTTTAAATTTTTGATGGGGGGAGGGGGGGGGAGATTAAAAAAAAAAAAAACTTTGTCAGACCTACCGACCCTTTGCTGAAATTTCATGTTACCGAAAATTTCATGTTAGCAGAAACACACTATCTTTTTTGTTTGGCCTTAGTATAGAATGGCTACAAAACGGACCTTTGCAGACCAAGGCTCCTCATAAGGAGTTAACAAAAGAAAAGCTTTAACACTTGAAGACAGGATAAAATTAATAAAGATGAAAGATGGAGGAAGCAAAGTAAACGACATTATGCAAGAAATTGATGTAAGGGAAGCCAAAGAGTACAAATTACTTTTTTCAACCAACAGACAAAGTGGAGCCATTACCGTATTTTCGACACTAAAAGGTGCACTGGATGATGAGGCGCACCTTCAATGAATGGCCTATTTTGTAATTTTTTTTCATATATTGGACACATGGCATTATAAGATGCAATCTACAATACATCCACTAGATGGAGCTACACTCAAGGAAATGCCAACAGAACACTACACTACGCCCGGATTTATATAGTGCCGATCAAATGTCACTAAAACTTATTTAATAAAGCAACGGCACCGTTCACTTAACCAACAGCAAGTTATAACATTGACTCATTAAACTCTGTTGCCGCTGCTCTATTTCCGTGTTCAACTGTGTAACCTAACCGATCGCCTTAAGTTTGAACTCTGTGTTGTAAGCATGTCTCTAGCAAGGAGCCATTTTGGGGTTGGCATGTTACCGTTATGACCATACACAAGACGAATCAGATTTTAAGGCGCGCTATGAGCTTTTAAGAAAATGGAAGGCTTTTAGGTGCGCCTTCTAGTGCGGAAAATGTGGTAATATTACAAACAAATGTATGTTAATGTTAAACAAAATCAAATAAGTGTATGCTCATACTTATGCACGATTGGAATGAAAATAAAGAGTACACATATACGTGTGTGTGTGTGTGTGTGTGTGTGTGTGTGTGTGTGTGTGTGTGTGTGTGTGTGTTTACGTCTGACATAAAATTTGCTCTAGTGAAAAGTCCCCTGCTGTGAAAAATATTTCTGGCTGTAAAGATGATTTCATTGAAGAGGAGTTCTACTGTAGAGTGGTCGTCTCACAACCGAGGGGTTGTGGGTATGCGTGACCGTGTCAAAGTGTCCTTGAGCAAGATACTGAACCCCCAGTTGCATCTGGTGTTGCGTCATCAGAAGGTGATTAAGGAACCAGTATTAATGCGGATGGAGTAGTCAAGGGACAGCCCACTACTAATTTATGTTGTATTCAGTAAGACAAGTGGTTGATAATTCAATATGAATCATAAGAGACACTCGATCAAGTTTGAAGATGCCTATGATCAAATGTTTAATTGGGAAAAACATGTTTTTTCTTTAAGTTTCACCTGGTCTGTTTTGTTGTTCCGTTTAAATGTAATTCTTACACGTCAAAAATAAAAAATTCAATTCAATATTGTATGCATACTTCTTGGGACAAATGAACAGTGGGGGCAACTACATGACACAGGGGGCAGTGAAAGAAGAGTCTGGATAAAATAAATCTTGTTTTATTGCATATTTACGTACAAATAGAAAACAATCTTGCGGCGAAACAAACCAAAAATATGCCCTTGGATTTTTATGCTTCAAATTTGCAACATTATTGACAGTGAGTATGTTACCTTTTCTGTTGTGGCGATTCGAAAATGTGTCAGCCTTGACATGGCCTTATATACAGTATGGCAGCCATTAACTTTTCACAACCGCACAAGGGAGAACACGTGGGTTCAAGATTAGTTCAATAGTGTACCACTATCTCGTGGGATACGCTAGGGCCTGGATTTGTCAATGGCTCTCTATTTTAAGATTTCTTTTCATGTGCAAAGACCTTGAGGGAAAAACTACTCTTTGACCTGCAGGGGGTGTTTCCAAGTGAAAGGCTGTGTTGGGAAGATGGTTTGAGTGTTATTGGAGAAATACAAATAAAAATCAACAGGGGTGAGTGCATGGCGGTTTGAGTGTTATTGAAGAAATACAAATACAAATAAAAATCAACAGGGGTGAGTGCATGGCCAAGGCTTGCCATGCTCTTGGATGAGATTGGGGGGCATTTGAGCAACAAAAGCTGTCGCTTTTACGCTCGGATGCATGTAATAGCTCCACATGAGCTAATTAGCCACCAAGCAGCTTGTAATGATGCAGCCATGTTTCAGAACAGTCAGACAGCTTCCCCCCCTAAAGTGTTCATGCCACATTGAAGGGAAAAGAAAATGCAATTCAACCTGTCCCCCCCAGAGCAAGCGAGACATAAAGCAAAAGTCATCTAAAGGTCAGGTTCTCTTCTTGAGCAACTCTCATCAGACCTCAGTTATGAAAAGATTACACCGGGGATCACTTGACGCTTGCAACATTAATTAGGACTGATTGATGCTTCATAAAGCTGACTGAACCTGTATGCATGTGCATAAACTCCAATAATAACAACAGCTTAGATTTATTTTGCACCTTTCAAGGGACCCAAGGATGCCCAATAGCAATTAAAATGGTGAGTACATGTCGGGGAGCGCCATGTTAGCGGAAGAGTAGCATGACGGCGAACAAAAGATGATTACCCGCTTAAATTTACAGGAGCCCAACACCCAATCAGAAAGTTGGATGAGACGTGCAGTATTAGGCGATTGTTCTTGGAATTTAAAACAGTTTGCAGGTGGCTTAATTAAAGACTTCTGTCATTCTCCCATCAAAATACATGAAGATGAAGGACAAAGAATTAAAACACATCTACTGTCGACTTGTCACGCTCTGGTTCAAATTAATGTTTTGGGGAGGCACATGCAATGGAGTGGAATTAATCATTCATTTTGCAGAGCATAATTTGCAGTCGCAAATTAAAAAGTGCTGTTATCTGTGTTCTGTAAGCGTCTCCACAGGGCTGACATGGCACCAACCCGAAAAGTCTATTTCAGGCTGGTCATATGATATCAGGGGTGTAGTATTGGACGATTTTTAAGAGTACCGAGTACATCCAGAGTGCAAATATGCGAAGCCATCAATGACCGTAGATGCCCCAATTTAAAGCGAGCACCCCTACAGATTTGATTTGCAAAACAGTACACCAGAAACTAGGTTGCACTGTTAGCTAACAGTAATTTGTGCAAACATCTTACCTTTTAACGTTGACATTGCTTGCGTGTAGTCCGACGCCTAGACAGAATTGTGTTGACACACTTTACATCGGTCTGAAACTGGCAGATGGAAAAAAAAAAACTCAGTTGTTGTTTAACTTCACATTTGATTTTTGGGATGGCACTCTGAAAGACCCAACGTTTTTCAAACAAGGCATTAAAAAGTACAATTTGCAGAACACTTGTGTCACTTTGAGGTACTTTATCTTAGGGTGACCAGACTCAAAGATCTCAAACATTATATCTCTAACATTGTAAAGTAAGGCTGCATTATATTGGAAAAAACGAGCGACTCATTTTTCATGCAGAAAAAAAAAATGAATGTGTTCTTATTTAGATAAGAGTGCCTTAGTGGTAGTATTGCTTCAGTCTTCTTCCTCATAATAGTTTTCTTCCCCATCCTGCCTTGACGGGTTTTTCTGTGTTGATAGGAGCCTTGAGCTCTCCGACCAGCACCTTTATTAGATACTGAAACATATACCTGCGATCTTTGCACACTGTTACCTTTATCGCGTATTGTCAAGGTCCTCAAACCCGGACCGTTTGTCAGGGGACTACAGTATTATTTGGCTTTTTCAACAAGCAAACCTAACGAACCAATGCTGTCAGTCCAGTGACTTCAACCACAGCAGTGAAACGTGGATGAATGAACGGGATGTCGTTCCATTCCATTCCATTTCATTTCACCAGCAAACAATTAGCATTCACGCTAGTAACTGAGCGCACCTGTTCTACACACTTGCCTTGATTGCCACTGCTCGCCTTCTCTTCCGGGTTCTCCCCGCCCCGCCAGGGTCACGTCACACACGTCGATACCGGCATACTTTGCCTCTTAAAACCAAAAACCAAAAAAAAAAAACATGCAAATTGGTCCTACGAGAATCAATTAAAGACGGACATTTTCATGAATTTATAAAACCCTCACGGAAAACTGGACATGTCCGGTAAAAAAAAAAAAAAAAAAA